TTTTTCACGTACAAAATGTATATTACGCTGTGGAACGAATCGAACCTAAACTCAATCACCTCCTGAATATATATATATATGTGTGTGTGAGTATGTGCGAGCACTATCTCTTTTTTTCCACTCAATTCAAACTCCGTACCGAAATGGTTGTTCAATTCGTTTTTCTTTGTTTCGTTCGACAAGCATTCAAAAAAAATATTCATGTTTTGCCTCAATTTTTTCCGTGTTTTGTTCAAGTCAATGGTGATCAGTTTGAGGTTGAGTTTTTCCTGCCCCTGACTTTGCAATAAAAAATCTCAATATTTTCCAGTTGCTGCATTTATTCCCAAATTTTATGTACTCCGACTGTTTGTTACAGCCAGTAAATTTTGTTCTCTATTTTCCTCTTGTTTTCTTTGTGTCAGAGCTTCAGATCGAGTGCGATACGTCGAAGGAATCTAATTGTTGTGATGATTTCGGATTCGATTGACCCCACAAACAGTTTGATCGTGTGGCGATCACTTGCTGCTTTCTATTCGATTGGCTGTTTGTCTTGATTTTCCGTCCGTGTTTTTTTTCTCTTTACTCTCTTCTAAATGATTCCAAATGATTAGGCAAAATTTTCGACGATCGGAGGCAGTTGTAATCAGTTTTTTTTTGTTCACCGTGTGTCTAAATCGATGGCTAATATAATAATGTGGTGGCGAACCCAGGGAAAGAAGTCAGTAGAATTGAACAAAAGAAAATTGACGGCGAGAAAACAACAACAAACAAATCGACTTTTACACACATACACAAAAACTAAATTACAACCGAATGATAATGTAGTTATGAGCAAGCAACTTATACATAGAGAGAGATAGAAAGAGAGAGAGAGAGAGAGAGAGAAAGTGCGAGTGCACAATGTTCGGGCGAGTATGCGTTCAGTCCATAAAAAATATGATTTATTTTACGTCATACATTGTGACTGAATACAAATAAATGCATATGTTTTTGTGCCGACATGAGAAAAAAAAAAACAACACAAACGACCAAACGAACAAGAAAAAAAAAAACGTTTTGGTTTTTGTTTCAGGTTCGAAACGGCGGCAAAACTCAAGAAAAAAGAACATGCGCAAATACTAACCGAATCGATGAGAATTCAAGAGATGCCGCGTACAGAATACATTATACTGATACGGTTTTTTTTTCCTGATTTCATCAAACGACAGCAAAAAAAGCAATTAATAATCTTCGAGCAAGAAGAAAAAGCAACAAACCGAAATTTAGGAACATGATATGGTTCCAGGTTTGAAAAATTAGGCTCTATTTAAGTACCGACGGCATTACGTGGCAAATTCTCAGGTTTAATGCAAAATCATCGAGCTAAGATTAAGAAAAGAAAATGGGATCGATTTTGTTTGTGGCACTGAAGACACATGCTTCAAAGGTGCACATGTTCAGCATGTAGTCATTCAAATCCAATGGATCTGAGTCACCAAATCTTAAATTTTGTCTAACTTTTTATTGGCAATTTTCAAATTAGCATTCTCAATTTAAAATCAAAGACGATTTAAATCAAAAGACTTCTCTCAAATTAGACCGGTCATAAAATAAAAGTCGATTTGTTTGACAAAAAAAAATGAACGTCCATAATAAAGTGATTGTTTATTTGTTTTTGAATCGCTCATCAACACGTGTTCCTATTTAAAATCGTTTGATTCTCGGATTACAAAATGAAATTGATGACATTTAAATTGGAAATACGATAGAGTACCTATCAAGCACAACAGAAACATTCATACAGGAAACTATATTCATGTTCTGTCATTGGGGAAAAATCTATTTTCAGTTAATTTGCCACACGTTCTCCAATTTCATTGACAATTTTTTCGAGGAGAAGATAAATTTTTCCAACTCTTTTTGTTTCTGTATTCAAAGTCGAACAGTTAAAAGGAACGAAGTCATTAAAATAAGGACTGTAAAGTAGATAGTTAAAAACGTGTTGTTGTTCGGTTCTGTCAGGGTGTCAATTTAATTGCTGTTCCAAAAGAATTGTTTAAACATAAACTGTACGGTTTTCTTAAAAAAGAAAAACGATCAAATTTAATTATATTTTGAATGAATTTTATTGCAAAATTTCAGCTCAAAAAATATGTGTCAGCATGCCCGGAGAATAGTGGTGACGGTGAAGTTATTATCTATTTTTACTATGCTCATTAACTTGTTGAACGTTGCAACCGAGCGCAACAACGCGATTTAATCAATGACAGACAACGATTAGAACAACAAAACAACGGTAATCGATCGATGGCCTAAGCATAATACGAATAGCATCGCTTCCAGCCGTTAAGACTAAATAAATTATGATCTAACGCAACATACATGATTTTGATATGTGAAAATGCCAGACATTTGGTCGTTTAGGTGTATGTGTGTATGGTGCGCGCGGCACTTCATCAAAGACAGAAACAAACCGAAAAAGGCCACCGCAATGGGAAAAACGTATGTCGTGTGTCAAATAAAATTTTAAACTGAAACCCATAGGGAGGCGAGAGAATTTATTGAAAATGAATATGTTTTGGTCAGACGTTTGGTTTTCTCGCGTTCAATGCGTTTCAAGTGTGTCGTGTTTTTTCGTGTTTCTGTGTGTGTGTGTCGAATGTGTGAAGTTTGTGCACGCCATGTCAGTGCATTAGGCCAAGCGTTGAAAAAATCATGTTCACATTTATCTGACTACCAAACCTTTTTTTAATTTCAATGGACTGTGCCCCGTTCCGATTGAAATGATGATGTCATCGGCTACTTTAGAATTCTCTTCTCGTCTTACTTTTATGATGTCTTTCTCTCGTTTTTTTCTTCTTTTGTTCGAACTGCCGCTTATTTCATTTTGATTTTCAATGTCTTTTCATTCTCGATTATTATTTGTTATCTGTTTATATGTTTGTTGCGCATGATTGACGTTAATCTTTGTCGCACCTCCAACTGTCGTTGATATACACCTTACGACAATCACACGCCCGTTTACGGCATTCGATTCAGTGAATTGGGTATTATTATCGAAAAATGACAGCTCAATTGTATCGCACTCACTGTCCTCTTGGATGTTGTGTGCTTACGTTTAGTATTGTTGATTGAAATCAAGTGGTTCGGAACACCTCAAGTCACAAGACACTTGAACTTTAACAATCCGTTCACGGATGCACAGTATTGAATCTGCTTTAGCCATCATTCATTTCGTCAATATCTTGATATTACAGCCTTCATTTCAAATTCAATCTCAGCTAATCTATACATGTCTTGAGCAGATCTTTTTGATTCAAACTGAAGGTGCAAATGAGCTCAAAACATACTTTACAATAACACAAAATGTAAACAGTCCTCCAGCTGCGGGAATCGCCTACCGCAAGCAAATAGCATTGAAATATTTGTGCTTTGTTGTGCAACACACTCAAGTGATGTGAGACACATCAAAAACTGGAAAAACAATTTCTTTGCAAAAATGACTTGAAACCGCTTGAATGTTCTCATAGGTTATGGGTTATATTTGATGTTTTGTTCATTTTTTGTTCGGTTCTCGAAGAGCAACGAGTGAGATGATTTATTGGCTACGGTTAAACATTAGCGAAGAAATCATTTTCGGTATATGTGATGGAGCAAAGAAGAGAGAAAAAGAAAGACGCTGATTCAAATCATCGGTTTACTGTGCATACGGTCGACTGCGAGCATTTTCGGTACGACGGTTGAATGACGATGAAAAATTATCGATAATTCTGTGTTTTTTTCTTTCTTCATTCTTTGTTTTGAGCAGCGCATTTTCGTTCATTCCTTCGACGCTCTCACTTTTCAGTCCCTAAAAAGTCGATATTCAAAAACACAAACAACCATCGATATTTTGCTTCTCATTCTTTAATTTAAAATATTTAAAAAAAAAATACGGATAATATGCGTAAAAGTTACGAACATGATTTATGTCGATATTTTTTTTTCCTTCATTTATTCATTCTCGTTCTTGTCAGATGCTTTTTTGGTGGTGTGTTGCTGTTATTCTCCTTCTTTTTTCTCTCTCGACGTTTACATCATTTTACGGTGCCAGTGATGCATTCAAATGCAAACGGCCAGACAATTCAAACGCATGTTGACCATAATTTGGGTTTCATGAATTATCATCATAATGATAATAGCTTATGTTGAACACGACTTGCGGTAAACACTCAACAACATTGCAACATGCAGTGTCCTAATCGATTACTATTGTTTCATTCATAGAAATTGACAGTTGCCGAAAACACAACGAACCAATGAGAAAAACGAATGAAAACAATATGAGTTCATAATAATCATAAGTTTATTGAGATAAGGGATTTAAATAGTTTTGTTCATGTCAAACATCACGATAGCATACATTGCAAAGGAGCAGCATCAAAGTCGTAAAACTTTTGCTTAAAACAAAAGCCATGCTCCTAAGAAGATTGGTGAGTTTCTAATGCGACCCAGGTAAAGGTCAGATGTGACTTATAGGATAAGTATGTCCGAGTAGATTCCGAAATCCTGTGTGCTTAAAGGTTCAACCAATCGAACAGACAAACATTCTTCAGTTATTATGGTAACTCACTGTGTGATACAGTTGTCGATTTTGTAAGAATGTTGCATTATTATTCTGAGCCAATTTTGTATTATTATTGTATAATATGAAAATGCTGAAACAAGTATGCAACCTAGAATCCTTTTCTTCATTTTGCTTTCAAATTGCGTCGAAAAGACTAGTCACCCATAAATTAGAATTATGGCTAATTATTTGTGTTTGTGGCAAGCATTAAACTGATCAAAATTATCAATTACTGATGTCTTATTGCGCAATTATTCCCTCGTTTTAAATCAGCGATTATTTCTTCGATTATTCATTCCATAAGTAATGTGGCGATTATGTTATTCATTTTATTACTTCAACGTTGTTCACTTAATTTTCGGAAATACTTTTTTTTCGTAATCATTTTGTTCCAGGTGATGTTAACCAAAATAAAGAGAAAAAAAATACTTACTTGTATCACTCTCATCGGCAAACCGGTTTCTTTAGCTAACTGCTCACGGATGTGTCGCGTTGGTTTTGGTGTTTGACTGAATGCATTTTTCAGTACATCTAGTTGTTTGGCTTTGATTGTTGTTCGCGGGCCGCGTCGTTTTGAACCGTTCGCACCGTCATCAGGGCTTTTGTTTTCCGCCTGTGAATCACCACGACAATCAGGATCACCATCGATGGAACCCTTCATTTGAAAAAAATAAAAGGAAAGATAAATCAATCGGATTGTGTAATAAAACTGGGAGGATTTCAATAGATAAGGTAATTCGAGCACAACGGAAATGATTGAAGAAAATAAAACAAATCAAGAATTTGAAATGCGATTGAACTTACTTGATCGGAATCATCTTGCGTCATTTTACTATCGCTATTCGTACTTTGTACTGACATATCAGATGGACCTAAAGCGCCGAGTGAATCTGGACCGTTTCCACCTAATCCGACTAACGCACCTAATCCTAAGCCACCGCCTCGAATATGATGCGCTGGTTCGTCATCTTCTTCGTCTTCGGAGCCGGAGCCCAATAATGGATCTAATCGTGATAGAAGAAAAAAAAAACAACAAAAAATAAATTTGAATCATTTTCAACACCATGAAAATAGCTTAAAAGTCAAGTGCCTAATCCAATTGACTGTTTCAAATCAAATTACAATTTTTTTTTTCTTCTCTTTTTTTCTATTCATCAAAATCGACGAGTCGTTCTGCATATATACGCGTCACAGGAAGAGGCTGCATTGTCGATTTTTCGGGAGTGAAAAGCAGTTATTTCCGAAGCATAGCACTTTATTATGAATTAAATGCTTTCCTGTATTTGCTTAGGTACTTGTATTCGATGGTTTGCTTTATCAAACCGTCGACACACACACACAACACCAGTGACTTTGCAAACGGCACGTAGCAGCATCAATGAAGGGACACACAACAACAGCAACAACAACAGAAGAAATGCATCCCTCGATTCAAAAGCAAATTCCCTATAAATTTGCGTGTTTATTTCCTTCCTACGTTTGAGCTCTCATGCCTATTTACCAAACGTGAAATTGAAGGCGCACATGAATGCCGACCCCTTGTGATACACCACACTGCCACGCACCGAAGCGCTATAAAATATTACCCGGAGAAAATAGCACTAATTTCTTATCGAATGTATATTTCCATTTTACACCATCATCATTCATCATTTATCAGACTAAATCGACTCGATTTTGCGTGTGCAAAGCACAACCTGGAATGACGCGTACGCATTTTCCTCCTCAAACGGTTGGTTGGCGTGCGTTGTGTTGTGTTTGTTACTGTTTTGGTTTCGGTTTCGAAGTTTATTTCAAAAACAATAAAATGTACGGTGCATGGTGGGTCTGAAAATAAAACTGGTTCTTCGCTCGCTCGCTCTCTCTCTCTCTCTCTCTCCGGTCCTCATATTGCGTACACTGGGCACTGCTGATACAACGTGGCTCAACAACAATCTCTGAACTATGCAAACATGAATGCTCACGAGGAATGCGTAGTAAATGTCGAATGCCGCATTTTATGGAGAGAACGTTAGAGATTTTCCAAACCATTTCTCATAAATGCCCTTCAGCTGAGTTTATTTTATGTATTTGTGTTGTTTCAATTCAGAAATGCATACACGAATGCCATCATGTCTATTTTTGGCTCAGAGGGTTTTTTTTTTTCGCTTTTGTTATTGTTATTACTGTTGTTGTTATTGTTGTTGCTGTTGGATAAATCAGATCTTATGGATCCTTCAATTTATTTCTACCCTCGACAGAACATTTCCTGGAACATTGATGCCGCTTCACTACCTCTTGAGTTGAAATTAATAGCAACGCAAATAATTTGACCGATATGTTTGCATTTTTCATGCACTTTTTCGGGTTGTGTAACTCGAATCAAGGCTAAGCGAATGAACAGACGAGAGAACGCTTCATATTATTCTGTTGTTAGTAAGAATATTCAGAATTTGAACTCAACTTGATGAACTAAGAGAAAAAAAATGTTGTTGTAAAAATGCGTTTGTTTCGAAGCAAAATGAATTTCGGTGTAAAAATGCGAGAGTTTCTTGTGTTTTTTTTCCTTTTATCGAGGTGAAATTCCATAAACTACAATTTTTCAGCTACACCATCATTGTGCCAGTCTTCTGCAACTGACATGAAAATACGTGTATTCAGAACAACTGAGTGAGAGTATAAAAGGCAACCAGCACCGTGCGTTTATTCGTCGTTTAAAGTCACGTGGTGGTATTGCTGCTATATTCCGTTTATTCGCCTTCCTTTGTCATTTTATTTATCAAAAGCGAATTTTTCATTTGAACATGTCTTTGTCGTTGTCGTTTGTTGGATATCGCGCTGATGTTAAGCGCGCACCAAGCGACGTATATATATATTTATGTGATATGAATGTATGTGATTAAAAATCGATTTTTCTTCTCTCGGTTGGATAGAGACCAGCAAAACCAAAACCGAGAGCAGCAAAATACATATGCATGCACGCACTCACTCACTCTCGCATTCGTCAGATCAAAATGAGATTATGAAATTCAGATTGCGAGCATGCGGTCCGTGCGTAGATGGGAATGTTTTTGATGGGATTGATCATGCTGCAAATGGCATGGCTGTGGAGGTCTTTGTATTTCAGATATACATGTTGAAAGCATTGAGCAGCTCGCTCTATCCAAACGAGCCGAATAAAAACTGAGAATGGTGAAGAGGGAATATATTCTGTATTTTTGTGTTTTTTTTTTCCCTCGGATGTCTGTCAATTGGCGGACCATTGGTAGACATTCCGTAATGTTCTGCACATACTGGGCGACTTCATTGATATACATTCTTTTTTTCGGTTCATTTTCATTCGTGCGACTGATTCACCGTGGATTGCCTTTTATTCGCAACAAATTGGTTGCACGATTTTCCATACCGACGTTACATAACTCGGCTGGTGAGAGACGTCAAAATGAGAAAATATCCTAAAGAAAAGGAAACTCTCTCAGAAAAAGAGAGAGAAAGAAATAATAATATCCAATGTGCGATGAATGCGCGCACTTGAAATAAATATTATAGACTGCGATGCCCCGTGCTGAGTGTGAAATTCATTGTGGGAATATTTGTAGTCGTACACACTTCTGACTTTACACACCAACACGCCAGAACACATTTAATCGCCTTCAGTGGATTCCTTTTGCTTCCATTTCGATCGTTTTGCAATACATATTTAATTCTGTTCATCTGGTGCACAAACTTTTGGCATTTTGGTGCCGACTTTGAATTTTCTCCCATTGGCGCATTAAATCTTGGCTTTTTAAATAATATTTATTCTTTGCATTTCCACAGCCCATCGACGCGTATATTTGTTTTCTACATTTATTCTTTCGATCTGTTTAACGCTTTCATTCGGATTATTTATTTTAAAAACGTGTAACATAAATTATTTGCATTGTGATTATAATGGCATGAAGCATTGCGTTGTCCATTCATTGAGCAATTTACAGATCCGATTTTTTCTAAAATATTTTTGACTCAATTTTTTTTTTTCGTTTTTTTTTTTATTTGTTTCGTGCGTATTCGAAGGTGTTAGAATCTTCAAATTATCTGAGGCTTACAGCAGGTTAATGCTATTAGTTGTGTGCTCCATGAACAAAAACGCGTTGAATGGCATAGTTAATCAAACACATTTTGAAAGGAAAATGTTCTAGCACATCAAAATCGATTTGATTAATTGATATATTGCATGAGATGTGTTCCTGAGTGTGCCCTTTCTACCCCATTATATGTCGATACTTTCTGTTTCGATTCAATCGTCGGACACTGTTGCACCGTGCAACGGTAACTTACATCAAAAATGTGGCTCTAGTTACTCAGTTTGATAACATACAATTACGGTCGGATTTTGTTTGAAAAATGAAATGGTTTAGCTGTTCGTCCCGCATACAATGGCCCAACATGCATTCGACATAAGGCAATATTTATATAATGTAGACTCTGTTTCAGTTTACCTCTTTTGTTATTTTGGCATGTTACAATTCAACCATAACCTGAACTAATCATTGGATCCTCCATTGTAATTTATTCTACGCAGCAGGATGTCCCCATTCAAAAGCACAGTTATTGACAACACTACAACGGCGGTCAACGCGAATACAGGGGACCGAGAATGAGTCGAGAATAGAATGAACATTTTAGCGCACTTTAGATGCTCTCTTTCAATGTGCACATACTAACACTTTGCACAGCTGAGACCCGTGTGTATGCATTATATGCACGTCAGCACAGTACGTAACAAAAGAGACACACATGTGCGTTTTCATATTTTGATCATTTGTTAAACCGTTCGACCCGGTATGAGTCGAAGGTAGACTACAACCTTCGTATGATCAATGGACACAACTTTGTCTCTATTTTGCCGTAACGACTCTATGTAAATACTCTCATTTTCGCTGCTTTGTTTCTCCACAATTGTGGTTTGGCGATTGTAAAAAGTCATAAAATTTAACGAATACTAGACACTTGAAATGCAATAGATATTCATTCAAAGAAAAAAAGAAGAAGAGATAATTACACTTTTGAATGGCCTTTTTTCGTGGAAAATCTTTTATAGTTTTCTTATTGGATGCAAAACTATTCAAATCACATTCAACCAAACGCTCAGCGATGATTTTGACTTGTTTTTGTGAACTTGAATTTTTTTTTTTCGAATGACATATTCCGCACAATTTCATGTTCGGGTTTGTTCACTTTAAATGTGTCAACGCATTTGTTCAATTATCAAATATACTTGTGAATCAGAAGAATTCAGCTTACGGTCATGGACAAAGTGGCAATTGATTGTCATGCTAAAGAGAAGAAGAAAACAAAACTGTGATCTGCAACTGACTAAATTTCACGCATTCTCATCATTAAAGTAAGAGATTTGTGCAGTGAAGCTGTCATTCACACGACGTCAATTCAATGGCGAATACTTTTTTTTCAGTGAGGGATTGACATTCGTCACTGAAACAAACAAAAATGATTGGTTTTATTTTCGTTTTTAAAAGACAACTACATAGAAAAGAAAAAAAAAAAGGAGAAGAAATCTGTGCGTGTTGGATTAAGTTAATCCTAAGCCATGTTTGTACGTATGACGAATGAATTCTTTTTTGTGTTGTGTTGTGTATCATGTAAAATGCATCACCGATCTGTGTTTTCAATCGGTTTTTAACTAGGTATCAATTTAACAACTTTAATCTCGGCTTTGATAACTCAAACTCGAATATGTTCGGCTCGGTTTGGTTTGGTTCGGTTTTTACCTGCAGCATACCAATCGGCCATTGTACAGAGTGTTAGCCAAAATCGCAAAGCAAAACATACAATGGAAACCAATACTGAACAACGATACTGACACTGATTTGCGCACCAAACAACAACCATTGTAAACATATTGTAAAATATGTGTTTTCTCTCATTTTCTTTTGCGTACAGTTTTGAGTTGGCTTTTTTTCGTATCTTCTCTTCGATACGAACACGCACATTGCTGCGCTGTACTCTTTACACCCGATTGAATTGGTAATTGTTTTGGTTTTTGTTATTTTAAGCACTTAAACATTTACGTACTCATACACATACACATAGTCGAACACATGAACCGAAAATGGAAGAAAAATGGCAAGCCTCAGCGGCGGCGGTAGTTGTATTCTTTCTTTCGTTTCTGTTTTGTTTGTGTAATGTTTTTGTTTCGTCTTATGTATTTAATGAAAGCTATTTATACACATCGCAATGCACTGAATGACAAAACACGAACCGAAAAAGGAGATCGAGATTCTTTCCTGTAAAAGAATGAAAATTGAAGGCTGTCTTGCAACGTGCATCTATATTTACTGAAACGCGCTCACGATGATATTCATGAGGTATGTGTGTGTGTGTATGCGTATGTGTCGGGCCTTTACCCAGCCGACCAGTTTCTTGCAATAAGATTTAATGCTTTGTTTTTGGATTACATATTTTTCCATATCCTCGTTTCTTTCACTCCTTTTCTTCTTCGCTTGGTGTATCAATATTTTTTTAAGTATTGTTAAGTTAGTCTTATTTTCTGTATCGGTTCTTTTTTTTGTGCGGTTAGACTACCGAAATATGGGTTTTTGTATTAGGTGGCATCCGTTTAGTTAATTTTTCTATTCATTGACCACTGAAAAAAAAAAAATTAACAACCATTGAAACTGAATACACGCATACATACACACACGGAGACACTCCATTGAGTTTCTTTCATCAACATATCGAAATAAATAATGTCGTTATTCATTTCCCCGTGTAAAGCTAATAGAGAAATTAAATAAAGCACCGAAAGAAGAGATGAAACTATGAAGAAAAAAAACACTAACAATTTATGTACAATTTGCAAACTTTGTTAAGCCGACGCATGTAAGTTGTTTGAGGAAACGATGAGAGATGTTTTTCTATGGACGATGTGCATGTGAATGGGCACCATTGACGGGCGGCGGCTTTTTCAAGACATTCAATCTGTAAATTTTCATACTTATATACAGCATTATCTTCTGGCGATGATGTTGTAATAAGCTTTATTTTGGACATGCATTTCTGGGTCTTGTTTCGACATCGTCACAGCCACCACATCTCCATCGATTTGGGTGCGAGAATGTGAGAACACATCAACTACATCAATTACGGACATTATGGCTAGAGAAATAAACATTATAATTAATGTCGAACAAAATGCTAACGAACGATAAACCACTCATATTTTGGTTTATATCATATTTTAATAGTTCCAGTTTTTTTTTTGTATTCTTCTCCCTTTTGCCTTCCTTAAAAACGATCGCTTGCAAACGTTTCAGAGCCCATTGCTCCAAGGAAGATGTTTCTTTTCATTCTTCAATTTTTTTTTTCGGCATTCGTGAATATTTTATCATTTTATTCGTATCGTTGTTTCATATTAATGAGCACCGTGTGTCTTTGATACAGGTCGGTCGATATATGCTAACAAGTTTTAAAAAAAAGCAAATGCTCGCGTCAAAATTATCGGAGCCAAAGTGATTTTCGATTCAAAAATGAACAGGCCATTTAACGTGTGTTCATCATATAGTTTACGAATGATTTTTTTCTTCTTCAGCGATTATTGTTGTTGTTTCATCTGTTTGTTTGTTTGACGGCTGCCGCCAATGTTTTTTTCTTCTCTGTTTTCGAAATTTGAATGAACGACTTTTCGAATGTCTTGGCCATTCATTGATAAATTAAAAACCACAAATGTTGTTTTTTCTCGATTTGAGTTTAAAACATCGAGAATACAACGAAATATTAAATGTCCGAATTCATGAAGCGGCCAATATTAAAGAAAATTCAACCGAACAATTTTCAGTCGACCGAAAAGCAAATGACAAACTGGTTTAAATCTGTTTATCACCTCTTGGCTCTGTGGCTCTTTTCAACGAAACAAACGTTTGATTCGTATCAAAACTTTTCATTCAAACACATTTTCACCCAGTTCAAAGAATAGGACAGTTAGCAGGACAATGCAATTGCGTGAATGAATCGCATGCAAGCATTGACATTCTGATATCAAGATAAATAAATCGAGTGTGAACTGAGCAATGACTTTTTACCAAGCCGAGTGCGACTTAGCGATAGTGGTTGCTTTGTTTGAACGCTGGGTGAAAATGTGAATCGGCTGGGCCTTATTTCGTAGCCCCAGCTCATCAACTTCTACAATACAATGACTGGCTGATTGTTTTCTACTGATAATAACAAACAACGATGAGGGTTTCAATGTCGCATCACATCTATCTGCTTGAAATAAAAACTTCAACGTTTTGTACTCTCCCCGATTAGAATAAGTTTTCTGTACACTAGAATGGTTAGATCATTTTGACCTGATCCAAGCGGAGATTGTAGATGAAAAGGGAAGGAAATTTCTTCTGGATAATTCACCAAAAAAAAAAAAGGAAAAACTTTTGCACAAACCGATTTTATCTCACATATCTTTCAAATCGATTTCTCTATTCATCCGAATTTATTTCAAAATTAAAATGAAGAGAGACACTTCTTTGTGATCGCCAATAACTTTATCTGTGTCAAAAGTCAATAAAAAATTGTTCACATTCAGACACGCATTTGCATAATCCAATGTTCGTGTGTGCTATGACGTTTCATCGAAGTCATACAAATTGATTTAAATTAATCGGATTTTTTTTCCGTCAACACTTTCATGGAAGATGTAAACTTATTTGACAAGTTAATTAATTAAATTAATGCACGAAGGCGGTCGAAAAGAAATTTCGTGACAAAATTCGCGATATATTAACAGTGAAACAGATTTTGTTTTTTGTTTTTTTGTTTTTCGTGTGGCATAAATTGGGAAAATGGCGTCAGCGAAAATTTTTGCTTATAAATTGTCATTTGTTGTGCCGAATAACTTGACAACACATTCAACAGTTCAATATTGGTGTATGAATGCGGGGCGGCGGCATCTTCAAATAAATATGCGATGAACACATCTCTAGAAAAAAGTAAACACTTGTTTATATATATATAGCATCGTGCAAATAGTACATGGTATCGTTGTTGTTGTTGTTGTTGTTGTTGGTGATACATACACGAAAAGCCCATTTCCATATCTCTCCATTATTTATTTTGATGATTCATGGCGTTAGCTTATGTACAAAATGTACATGGATCAGGCGAACATTGGATTTCATTAGCAAAATATGAATTTACATCTAAATATTCATACGTATACCGTATACATGTATTGAATGGGGTGACTTGCGCAATAGAGATTTGCTCCAAGCCAATTCAATCAAGACACCGCCGTTGCTACTGGCAATCGCATCGACGTACGAATACAATGGCAAATTTTCTTGTTTTTTCTTGGTCGGCTTTGGCGAATTTTCTCTTCATACATATGTTTTCGTTGGTACCGTTTTGAATCCTAAAAACGTGTAGTTCGTCCGGAATCGATACCATTTGGTTTTCTACTGTGATGTGGTATCCGTTATTTTATCTACAAAAAAGGAAGCGAAAGAATTGCGAATTCCATACTCTTGCGCATGATGTACAACACTCCATCATGCGAGCCATTCTTCAATCGTATTTTCTATTTCAATGTGATTTTCGAGTGGCGAAAACATCCACACCATGGGCTTAGAACAAAAATAATTGGAATAATTTATTGAATCATTTCAAAGCATTTGGTCAAAGACAACAATATGCAATTGATTCCTGAAACGGTGTTGTGAATGTTCAGCAGTTATAGTCGCGCATCCGAGCACGCGTTCATCACAAATGGCGAAATATCTCTTGGCTTGTGAATATGACGGCCAATATTCGTGTTTTCGAAGACATAAACGCAACGAGAGGAAAAAAAACAACTAAACTTTATGTACAAACATTTGTAAGCGCAGTTAAACGCTTTGCGTTGTTGGGTGCGAGATTCTAAGTACACGCGCATTATATACCAATGTCTATAAGAGTGCCTGATATCATCTCAAACACCGAACTCAAAACATTACAGAAATATTTATGTGTATATTTCTCGTCGTTGTCGTCGTCGTCGTCTTCCTCCTCTTCTTCTTCATTTTTTCTATTTTTGTAATGTTTGCACTGTGCACTTGGTAATACTTATGGTGAACATTGCAAAAAAAAAATTCGAACTTCTTTTGAAAATTTATGAGTATTTTGCCCACAAAAAACCTTGGGGTTTGTGCAAAAAATACAGTTATCGATTTTTTTCACTGTGTTCAGCTGCTGTATCTTTCACTCTATGTAATACATAACATTGGCTATAATTTTCGTAAGAGAAAAAAACAAGACTCTTCTCGATTTATTATCGTCATTTCAAACAACCAACAATTCGATGTTCGAAACATGGAGACTATGCTTGGATTAAAGTTTGTCGACTTTTTTAACGAAATGGTGATGGCGATTGATGGTGAACACCTTAGACTTCCGGTATAAAATATCGATCTTTTAATCACTCCCAAGACACAACCGACAAAATAAAAATGGTCTACTGTTATAGTTGAGTCCAAACATTCAACTGCAAATGCGTTTGTCGCACTGTATGGGGGTAAACATATGATCACTCACCTGAATACGATGAATGCTGACCGTGCTTGTGATGCATATAATCCTCTTTACACATAAATTTATTATCATCTACTATATATAATTGATCCCCGGTGCTCAATTCGCGTCGGCATATAAAACATGTGAGACAATTTAAATGGAACACTTTATTGTCTCGCGATTTTCTGACTAATTCCGACGGTGAGATGCCTTGATTGCAACCGTTGCATTTGGTGCCATAACGCCTGCACAATGTTTATTTTATTGCAATGAGAAACGAGAGAAACAACAAAAATATATGAGTGAATTAATCGTTAAGTGAATTCCCATTTTGCACATGCATTTAAATACATTTTGAAATATTGTAGTTTCAAATGATCAATCAGTTTTCATGGAACATACCTAAAAAAATCTTTTTTACAGAATAATTTTCCATCTCGGCTAAAGCATTTATCGCTCAAAGGCCCGTTACATTCACTACATCGTACACAATGTTGGTGCCATCGTCGTTCGCACACATTCAGAAGGAATTTTTCTAAAATGGGCTGATTGCAACCGGCACAATGATCACCAACACCAACTGATGGCTCTGCATGACCTGTAAAAATAGAAACAAAAGGAAATACGTCAGTTAAAGCAAATGAAAATTGTTTTATTATATAATAATGTAACGAAAAATGTGCGGCAAAACAGTGTGTGTTGAATCAAGAACAGAGAAAAAACCAAAATTTCATTCATATTTCTAAACTTCTATCGATTCAGGGGATTTTTGCCGGGCGATAGCATAAAACAAAATATGGTGTTCAATCGGACCGATTTCAACTGGAAATGTACAATGTTTGGCTTGATATGGCTGAGTGTTGTCGATGCATATTGCAAACCGTTTATCGATTATATGACAAAAACAGTTAATGCCATCTTCGTGAATTTACATGGATTCATAGTTTGTAGCGCGCGGTGTACACCACTAATCCACTATGCCGTAACAAAAGTTATGCAACGCGTATAAAAGGTATAGTGAACTTCGAAATGAGCATGCTTAAAGGTTGGCTGTGCTCAGTTGCTCGATTTGTTTTCATGTGTATCACATACAAATCCATGTATATTGTTGGCTTTGGTACTCGCTGTCTGTGAGAGGTCATTGTGCGAAATAATTTCTCAATTTTATGAATGACAGCTAATAAAAACATACACAAGTGCTAATGCACATACACAGGCACACTTCAATTGGCTGCCAGCGATTAGATTGGATAGAAACGTTTCAATGAATTTGATGATGTTTGTACTTTTGGCCGTTATTTCGGCACAATCGAACATATCAGGAAAATACATATGCATACATTGAATGCCAAATGCCGGTCAAAACTTGTTTTGAATTTTGCATGTGTATGGATTCGGAATGATACTCAGCAAATCGTTGCAATTTTGTATTCAATCAAATTTTAAGTGTCATCGATGAATGATTCAACGCCGATAATATTCATTTAAAATGTTGACATTTACTTTCATTGATTAAGTTTAACGTTTATGTTCATGATTTATACTGATGCTCGTCTCAACTTGACTGTGTCTTTTCAATTCAAATACGTGTTAATATAAACTACTTGAAATATGTCTGGAGTACAATTCATATATTATCATTTACAACTCGTTTGTTTTTTTTTAATACTACTGAATTCTTTTCGTTATTATTTTTCCTTAATTTTATGAATGACAATCAATTGTTGTGGCCGAGAACACAAAAGAAAAGCCGGAGTAAAATTGTGCGTTATTTTCTCACATCGAATCAAATATTTTCGCTAAATATAAAGTTGATTTATATTCTTATTTTTGTACACATTGGAATCGACTGCAATATCAATAAATTATCAAATGTAATTTGCTCGCTTTCGCTATTGCTTATTCCAACAAAAGACACAGCCGGCATGTATCTAAGAAGTGCATGGCTTCTTTGTTGTGGCTTTGTTTCAATAGAAGTTACTGTCAACCTGCAAAGTTTATTCAATGGATCTCACCAAACCGCAAAAACAAATGAAACGACGGAAAAGCTTCTGGAATTGAAATTGTGGAGTTGATTAATTGTGTTGTGCAAGAAGAAGAAAAGTTGTTAACAACGCACGACCTTGCCGAACCGTCTTCAGCAATTTATATTCGTTGCGGAAATTTCTACGAAGCCCGTAAATAATGCAGGTTTATAGAAGGAAAAAAAAAAATGCATTGACAGCATTGACTCAAAGTAAAATATCATCTCATCACACATGAGATGTAATCAGAAAACGTGAAATTTATGGCAAATGCTCAGAAAATGTCCAACAGAAGCCGTTCGTGTGCATTTTATTGCATCCACTTAATTGATATGTGGTGCATTCATTTGTGCGGACCGAGTGGCGTGTATCGACAAGAGTGTATGATTATCTGGGCCGGACGCATGTAAATATGTCTTGCAGGCATGAATCCAACCAAGCGCACACATATACCCGATATTTCCTTCAATATACACACATAAATTCATTCACAAGTTTTCTTCAAACGTTGCACTATGGCTCTGCGAATAGAATGGGTCGGTATTTTGGCAATGCAGTGAGCACAAAATAAAAAGAATGTAATTAAATTGTTAATCGGTTAAAAAGCAAGAGAAAATGAGCACCACCTGAGGCATATACCGAAGAGTAACTTGTTAAACACACACTTTTCAAGAGATAGCACAATGACCGAAAAAACAGTGTTTTTAAAACACACACACACACAATGGTCGGGAAAATATATTTACTTTGAAACAGGATGTAAAGTATATTTATACGAAACGTACATGCATCTACGAAATATTATAATGAAATGCAGCAATAAAACAATTAGAATTATAGGCGTACAATGTGTGATGATGCGTTGTGCTGTGCTGGGCTGTGTATTGCCCGCTTGCGCAACCACGATACGAACATGGAAGCGCGAAAATAAATCAAAGGCAAAACATGATTGATGCAGTCGACGGGAATGCACAACAACACAATTATGTGCGACAACGGTTAAACTTGATGTTTTTCAAGTCAATACATTACAAACTCATTTGAAATTCTATGCTGTAAATTATCAAGCGCACGTTTGCTATGATATGATGAGAGAACGTCATTGAATTCTATTTGAAATTACACCAATTTTCGATCAACAATTTTTCCATGATAAAAATTGAACGGTTTTTCTCGAAACAAAATGTAAGACGAAGAAAAATGTTGTGTTCGAAATTAGCAGATTGTTTATTTGTTTTCACCCAGAAAATGATGGGTTGCCATCATCCCGTTAGCTGCTGAAGTTTTAATTTTTTCTTCTTTACTTCGATTATATATACTACTTTGTGTACAGCACTTAATTAGTTTCTCATTTGAGGTTCCAGCATTTTGTTGTTCTACACATAATTATTAGTTGTCGAATTATAATTTGATTAATGACTTCACCACCACCACCACTATCTATTCTACCTTTTCACCAATGAAACCATACGCTCGTTTGACATATTTCAACAAAATCGTTATGCAGCAACAGAAAATTTTCAGTTGAGGTGTGAAACATTGACTCGAGAAAAGAAAAATCTATCCAATAGCAATTAGACACATACTGTTTTGTCGAATTAACTGGCCAATTTGTGGATTATGAAAAATGAACAAGGCAAGACAATTATACTTGTCTTTATAAATGAACAACGATTGACCTACTCATCGCATTTGTTCGCACATGAAATCGAGTAAGAACCAACCGATCACTTCGAACTGAAAGTCTAAACAGAGAAATACTCTGATGCATGCGATTGATTAAATTGAAGCTCGACTACTCATAATAATGATCGCTGTTTTTCATAATTAATAGATGGCGTTTAATCATTTTGAAATTCACGGCAATTCCAATTTTTTTTTTCAGTTAGGTGTTTTTTGTACATTGAAAAATACCACAAAATATGGTCGAAGTTTGAAAGAAAAAAAAAAATACATGAATGAATCGATAGTCTTTTTAGAATGTGGTCAGTGGACATGAATGTGATCTTATCGGATGTGATATACATACCAATGTTGTGTTGGGTATGTTGCAACACCGAACCAAATGCCATTAAGTCTTTGGCAGGCGTTCGATTCACAAGCGATTGTGGATATCCTTCCCCCAAATATGACGCCAGTGCGACAGCTCTTGGGGGAGCTTTAGATATTTCGGTCAAAATTTTTCTAAGTTTTAATTCAACGTATGAGTCGCAAGAGGAAATTAACTTTCTCTTGCAACCAAACTCTATTTCCACTTTATCTTCACAATCACAATGCACAATATCTTCTTATTTTTCACTTGAACGGGCGCTCAATGTTGTTGTCGTCGATTTCGATAGAATCGATTGAAATTTCACATTTAGTAATAAAACAAGTCTAGAAGATGTGTCGCTATTAATCCCAACACTTTGGCGCTGTTTCTCCGAAATTTTGCACATAACAAATATGCAGTAGTGGCAATTCAACAAAATTTTTTGCGTGAAACTATAATTCTTTTTTCTTTTGAAAAAAGTCAAATATTATCTTTTCGAATCATGGAATACGAATCAGTTTGAATGAACACACGATAAAAACTCTTTGCTTCTGTTAAGCCTCTGGCGGGAAACGAATAATTTCGAACCGAAACCGACGATATACAACCGTTGACTGGTTCTCAGTATTTGGTTTCAACTGTTATCCAGCCCAAATCGCGTAACATGACTACCAGCGGAAAGCAACAAAACCCACACAAGTGTACGGACGGCAGTCTGTGCTCTTGGTGCTGCGTGTTAGTCAATCAACCGAAGCATATACACGAGTGACGATCGACATAGAAGAGAGGAGAAAAAAAAAAGAAGTACGAAAGAACAACGGCGTATGTGTGCAACAAACAGTAGTAGTAAACGATGATTCTACACTGCTGCTGTTGCTTGTGGTGTTGTTGTTGCTGCATGCAAAGCATTCATTGAGAAAGGCGTTCTCAGCAGCGCTCTCATTCATGCTGCTCCGTTTATACAACGCTCGATAGAATACACATACAATCACACACAGACATACACACACACACACGTGTGCATTTGCTGCAGGCCAATCATGGCACGCTCGCTTTGGCATCGCTATATGGTTGTGTGCACGCCCATTTTTCTCCGATTATTTTAGTCACGAGGTGTGACTCTGTGAAAATCACTACTGAGATTTTAATACTTTATTCATAGGCTGCTGCTGTCATTGACTGTGCTGTCTGTGTTGTGCTCTCTTTGTTGCAGCGCGATATTTTTCTTCAGCTGCTTTTATTATTGCTTTCATTTGTTATCTTTTTGGATGTCTGTC